TTATATTTTTAATTCTGTTCAATCTATTGCAATTTGTATATATTTATGTTATATATATTGTACGTTTGTAAATGTGATGTGACTTATAAGAAAATACACTTGTGCCAGGAAAATCAAGTAGGGGGCTCATTAATGCGGCATTTTCAGAATGTGCCTGCAACTCCTTTCGGCTTAATTCGAGCTGAAATGTGTGCCACACCGCACCGTGACGTTATGCGACTATACTATTATTAATTATACGTAAATGCAAGTTTGTCGTTATACGATCTTCTGATAGTCTGAAGCTTACTATTTTGAATGAATGTCTAGTTAGTGTAGTGTAGTGTAGAATGTTGGTCTAGTTAATGGTCGTTAGCAAGACTGCTGATGATGTGGTCCCGGGTTTGAGTCACGGGTCGGGCCAATATCAGTTAGTGAGATTTTATGTGTTTAAGGTGATGGCTACTATGCTGTTTCTAAATGTTTTCATAACAACTGTTTAAATATTATATTGTAAGTTGTGTTTTTAAAAAAGTCCCGCTAGGTTTTTGTTGTTCTTCTCAGGACAGAGGTTTTTGCGAACCAGTGGTAAAAGTTAGAAATGACTTTCAATAAAAATTACATGTTCAATAAAAAGTATTTTATTCCACGTCCAGAAATTTTCAATGGCAGTCCGAGTGAAGAAGTTGGCAGTTTTTTAACCCCTTTCCTAGGAATGCACGTAAAGAGGTCCTGCGCCTCGTCTCTCTCCGGTCGTACTCACTCATGGGCTATAACAGCTATAATCGTTTCCTGCGCAGATGGCCTGTCTCCTAGTTGGAACTGGCCACCGTGATCGAAATTCAGTCTCAAGGACTTTAATATTATTATTTTGATTTTAGTTATCAATATTTATAAAAAGACAAGTTCCGATTCACTCACTGTAATCATTCACTGACTCATCAACGCCCAGCCCGACCCTTGGACCTAGAAAGGTGAAAATTTGCACAAAGATTCCCTTTATAAAGTCGGAATAAGGAAAATTTTTTTCGAAATTCCCACGGGACGGGACGGGAATAAAGATCTATCCTTTTGCTTTAAAGTTGCCATATTTCCGTTACTATAATTATTAGAGACTTCCATTTGGCATGTAAGTAAATAAATATAATCACTATTAACTTATTTCTGGCTTATTCGAAATTCAAACAGGATAGGGAAGAAAATAGTTTTATATTTTTGCTTTAAAGTTGTCCTATAATTGTAATTATTAGACTTCAGATTTGGTAGTAAATAGGTAATGTTGCTTAGGGAGCAACTATGAACAAACTTGCCGTAACTTCGAATTTCACGAAAATAATAAAATTTTGATAACATAAAATATACTGCACTCAATTCACATATAAATCAATAAAGAAATTAAACTTATGAAGTAAATCCAAAAAAAACTTTTTTTTTAATAATCTTTTTATATAGGTATTTTTTTTATAATTTTTTTAAATTGTTCGTTTGGATGTTTTCCGGTAAACCGAACCCTTTCAAATAAGGTATACCGGTTACCAGGAATTAATACGTTTAAAGGAGATTGAAACTTACTAAGCAATACGGGTCGGGTGAAGCGGGGCGACTAAGAATTGAAAAATCTGGTGTAGGGTTTACTTACCTACAAAATAAAAATTTAAGTTTATTTTTAAACCCTATATGAAATTAATTTTTAATCATATTGAATAAAAATAATTCTAAAACATGAGACTTTTCAATATTTTGCACATTTTTTAACCCACCAAAGGGTTAAATGGCCTACTTTAGTACCAGGGCAGCATGACTGTATAAATGTTGAGCGAGATCACGACAGGCAAAAAAGGCAATAACCATGCGGACCTCAACAAAAATAGTACAAAAGGTGCATCTATATTCCCGTCTCTTTTCATTATAAGAAAGTAAACAAAGAACAGTGCAGCGATATATGATCGAAAGGTAACGAACGATGGCGGGGAGTGAGTTCTAGGTTGAATAAAAATAAAAAGTTCCAAAATGGAGAGAGCGCGTAATATTTTCCTGCTCTGGGCATTTTGTGAGTCGTTTACGAGGGTCGCAGCGTTTATGTTCAAAGTTTTGATGAAGCCACTGTTTATGGAGTGAAAGCTTACGACTATGTATAATTGATGTGAACCTAACAACTATTGTACCATTAAGAATGTTTTTTTTAAATTTATGTTTTGATATCAAAAGTAAATTGTAAAGTTTAGTTAGAATTTAGATATATAGAAATAGGATAACTCGGGCAAAAGGTTCCGAACAGTGGTTCTCTTTAAAATTAATTAAATAATTATCTAATTAATTAATTAACTGTTTGCATGTATGAAAACGCGAATCTATATAAACTACTTACTGACTCTTGCAATTAATATGTAGCTAAAACATCTCCGCGCTTGCATTGTTCCAATAACAGTCACCGTACACGATGTCAACTTGCCACTCGCGAATTCGCGATGCAAAATGCAAGTCGCGCTTTATTAATAAACTATGACAATGATTGCTTAATATTGCAATCAACAGATGTCGCTAGTTATGACTGAGGTAAAGGTTTTTGTTACACAATGTCAGTTAATTGAGAAATTAGTTTTAAATAATGGTTTATCAGTTTCTAGAGTATTATATTTTATTAATACACAAAACAATGCCTCAGTGGTTTGATCTTTAATTATTTGCACTTTTTAACTCTTTTTTTTAATTTTATATATAACTATAAGTTGAATAAGAAGTAAGAATAAGTTTGTAGTTTGTTTTAATTATTTGTAATACAATTCATATGAAATATAACTAATAATACAGAAAAAGCCTTTACATTTTCCTAAGAAATTATCTTCTCTACGGTGAAATCTGTCAAATACTTCACCTCATTGTAAAGTGGTGCTGCCCTGGTGGCAGGAAAATTCGTGGATACGCTAATTGACAAACGATTTTGATGATTCTTACGTCAGTCGATTTGTCGTAATCTTTTGAATGTCACACTTTTTTATACGTGGTAGAGCCATGCTGCTGCTATATTAGTAGTATAGTTATAGCACGAATGGGTCGGCTCGACCGGGGAAGGACCACGCTCTCACAGAACACCAGCGTAAAATAGCAGCTTAACGCTGCTGTGTTTGGTACGGTGAGTGTAGAGAACCGGAGACCCTTTTTACTAGAAAAGAGGCATTTTATCTTAGTCCTCACGGGTGACAACGCATCTGCATTTTGATTTGTAATAGAGGATAGATGTAGATGTCTATGGATCGCAGCAACCACTTACCATCAGGTGGACTGTGTGCTCGTTCGTCACCCTTATCTTATAAAAAAAAATGGCAGTACCGTCCAGTTAGAAAAGGCGGCTCATTGAGCCCGTACTGGCAACTTGGACAATACCAAAGACGAAAACCCACTAATAACGATAGAACGTTATATTATTCGTATAATTATAAATTTTCTATTATTTTAAAAATATTTTAAAAAGATTTGTATACCCAAAAGTAAGTATCTACATTAATTTTAAACTAACATTTATAACTAGCGACTCATTCTGGCTTCGCCTTGGTTCTATTAATGTGGTGTTATTTAGACTAATTATTAAAGACCATTTATTTTATCTTATCAATATTTCTATTTTAATAAAATCTCTAAGTTTTTCATATAAATTTTAGTCCAAATTACTTCAATATTTTTCATTTATTAATTAAAATTGTAGCATTTTAGTTTTGTATAAAAGTAATTTTACGATTGCGACCAATTAGAACAATAAAACTATTTCTGATGTCATAGTTAACGAAGCTTATATTAAATTTTTAATATTAATTTTTGTCCGATCTACGCAGAACAAGGATTGAATTTAATTTAATTTATTAAATATCCCAAGCATATCGTACTACACAATCAACTTCTTCTATTAAAATTAAGCTGTTTTTTTTTTATTTCAATAACCTTGCGAATCATATTCGGTAGGAGTCGGTGTTCTTTTGCGATGATTTGTGAGATCAATCAATCTCACGTAATATTTGGGATAATGCTGAACATAATTAGACTTCCCGGAGCGTCGGTGATGTACATTAGCTATATGTCGTTTTACACGGGTTTTTATGGATCTTTTTGTTTTTCCTATGTAAGAAACCATATTCACAATCAAGCTTGCATACTCCTGTATCATGTTGATGGATATTTCACTTGACGTATAGTGTATGGTAAGAACTGACTAATCCGTTTTAGCGTCTTGCAGTATGCTCTTTGGAAGCCCTCTTCAAAATATAACCAACCCAGTCGGTGACTCCTCTGAAATATAGTAAGTGTAGGTAAATGGTGATGTAGCCGAAGATGGTAAACGCAATGCTATAACTTAACAAAAGCCCAACTCATTCCTTAAAGACTCCTACTTTGTAATGGGATGCCAAGACGGATGCTGGTTGTACGCGTTGCGAACGAAACGATGAAGTAAACAGTTTGGTTCGAATGTTCGAACAAAGAAATGGAGACTTCCAACAAGTCTAGTTGTCCGATGGTGGAGAGAGAAGGGTGGAATTACAATTACCTGTGTAATTCCTGTGCACACCTCTCCGAACTTCATAACACAAAAGAAGTAACACCAGGTATTGTCCTACAATTTTTAGAGAATCATGTTTTAACTCAAGATTTATTACATATACAAAAATACTAAGGAGATTATCAAAACTTAGTTTAAAACTAAATACAATACAATAAATGAAAAAAGGTACGTGAAAGGGTACTACGGAATATTAATGAAAAACAAATAATGAGAATAAATTAATAAATGTTTCACAAAGTAAAAAGCGGTATTTCCTTTGTATCGCCGCTGTTTATCTTTCTTCTTTGCGTTTTATTTCAATATGAACGGAAACGAAATTAAACGGCCATTATTTTTAAACAAATGGTTGCAATATTAATTAAATTATAAAATAATATATATATATATAGTATAAAATAATTTAATGATATAATTCAAATTAATTACAACAAAAAAACATTCAACATACTCAAGGTACAAAAAATCTCACCTGCAAACTGGGCGGGCAGTGGTCCAACAGCTCTAGCATGTGTTGTATGTTCTGCGCATCCTGTATCACGAAGTTCAGCTCCATGTCGAACTCGCCACCAACCAACTGCAACAATACAGAACATGTTATAGTGGGTTTGCCGCATTCATTCCTTATAATCAATATGATGGAACAAAATTTTTTCAAAAACTTGAAATTATTATAAATGTTACTTCGTGAAACTCCATCATTACTGATTAAAAGTTCTACGTGTTCCACTGCAATTCTTTATTTATAATAAACTAACCTAACAGGCTGTTTAAAAAATATAAATTGTAAATATTGATTTAATTATTATATATCAAGTATCGCTCACTATTGGATGTGTTTTCTTATTTTGTTAGGAAGTTCCTTATTGCTTCAGCTATAAAAATGCGAATCGATTAATTCTAAATGTCTCTAAAGAATTTTTTTTTATGTAAGAATATAAATATACGTTTTTTTTTAAATATATTTATCACATAAAAATATTGGTTAGCATTAAATATATTGAGCACATTAAACATAACAAACAGTCAACTAATACGGAGTTTCAGTCAACTTGGCAATTTAAAAGAATATATTTACATACTAAGCTCAAAAGTTACACAAGGAAAAATATAATTTAAAAAGGTTGCAGAAAAGAAAATAACAAATACTAATTAGGAATCAGATAGTACATTATATTACTGTGTGGTAACCTCATTTTCAGAAAGAAAACAATATCTGACTTAATCTTTTTATATGTCCCTCCGATTTTTGGACAGGTCACTAATTAGTAGAGGAACTATGACAGGACTCTCTGTATTATTACTAATGACAATTAACTATGACAAGACTGTCTTCTGTCGGGCCCCAGAACGAGTATAGTACGGAATGTTCGAAAGCTTTCTTCAGATTTTTATTAAAAAAGAGAAATTTTAGTTGAGTAAGTTTAAATTTAGTAAGAACAGGTAAAATTTAACAGTGTTCGAAAAAACCATATTTGTTATTATAGAACATCTATCTAATTTTTGAAGAAACAATTATAAAAAAAATATTCTTAAACAAAGTTCTATTTGTAAAGATTTAGGTAGCTGTTATCTATTCGGCCGTAACTACTAAAACTATAATTCCCTGTTTAGTATAGTAAGTAGTTTTAACCGAAAATTGTCCAAATTTGGTACAGTGTGAAGATAACAGTTAAGACTATTTGTCTATTATCAAACCAAAATTCGTGTATGAGGTTCCAACTTCAATGAGAGCATATAGTAGACAACTGAGATCGAGAACAAATAAGCCGGAATTATGAATGGCATCTTTGTTTTGCGGGCATTTAGTACTAGCTTAATTGCTCTTTGATGATCGTTTTAAACCGCCACCATTCAGGTGTCATCGGTGAATTGGCAGGAAGAGCAATTTCCGAGAATATTTTTAAACTGTTACTCGTTATATAAGACATGAGATAAAAAATGTACAGGACCTAAAACCCAACCTTGTGCGATGCCATCAATAAACTGTGACATATGTTTTAGATAATTTTTGATCTTTCATTTATCATTCTATTATTAAGGTAATTTTAATTAAGAATCAAAATGAAGATGCGTTTTCACCCCTAAGGAATAAAATGGAATGTCTCGTAACCGCTCTCCGGTTCTCTACACTCACGATACGAAACACAGCAGTATAAAGCTGACATTTATAACAATTAAAAAATACGGCGAAATAAGATGATAGTAATACCCGTTTCTTTTGATGCCTATATAAAACTGGTTTTTGCACTTGACTTGACTTATCGAAAGCTCTAAAAAGAGCTTAAGTTTAAAAGCTTAATTTTCATCATATTGACCTGTTTCAACGTCGCCTGTTCAATTTAATAAATCTGTGGCGGCGCTGTCGTCGCGCCACAAGCGAAACACATCGAAGCCTAAATCGCACTAACAAAGTTCCGAAGTTAATGCAGCATATTTAGAATAGCTCCGAATTACCACTCGGAGCGTTGGCCGCTCACCGGGCAGAACACCTTGCCCGGCGGGAGATCTCCCCTTTTCCTTCCTACGGCTACATATCCATATAGTATATAATCCTTATAAATTTGTTTTTTTTTTTTACTTATTATAAGCCAGTGCTTGTCCACAATCCCACCTGGTAGTAATTGGTGTGGAATCCCTAGATGGTAAATCACACTGCCTTTTTTTACTCTTGTCTTGAAGACGCCCAGATTGTATTAGGACAGAAAGAGAGACGCCGGTAAATTATTCCACTTCGTACTTCGTACGCATTACAAAAGATAATTTAAAATTACAAATGTTGCACAGCCGACTTCAATATAAATTATTAAGAATTACTCAAAAAATATTGGTCTGACCTTGATCAAATTCATATGGGACCATATGTGAAGTACCAGCTTTCAAATAAAAAAAAGAATCATCTAAATCGGTTCACCCAGTAAAAAGTTATGAGGTAACACACATAAAAACATCGTAGAACAGTGTTTGGCTCCAATTCTCCAATTGCTAGAATGAGTAAAATTGTTAACAAATTTAGCGAAACAATCGATATATTTTTCGACCCTCCTAACAAGCTCCGTCGCACATTAACAGACCATTTCTTGTAATATTCTATAAAACATTTTCTTTTCTTTCCGCTCTATGTATTTTTATTACTATATATCATTATCAATTTTTTTTACCCTAGAAATAAAGTTCCAGTGCTGAGATAGTTATTAGCATGTGGTATCCGCCTGTAATTATTTGTACATTTTAGTTCTTATTGGTTCATTGTATTTAAATAGCATGTAAGGAATGATACAAATGTTGGTGGATCAATATTTAAAAAAAAACGTTTTTACGTGGTAGAGCCATGCTGCCGCTATATAAGTAGTATAGCTGTACCACGAATGGGTCGGCTCCACCGGGGCAGGACCACGCTCTCACAGAATACCAGCGTAAAATAGCAGCTTAACACTGCCGTGTTTCGTATGGTGAGTGTAGAGAACCGGAGACCCATTTTACTGCAAACATTCTATTTTAGAGCTCACAGGTGACAACGCATCTGCATTTGGATTCGCAAACGAGGATAGATGTAGATGTCTATGGACCACAACAACCACTTACCATCAGATGGACTGCGTGCTCGTTTGTCAACCTATTCTATAAAAAAAACATACCGTCGAATTGAGTACCGTTTCCTTTTTGAAGACAGCAGATAAAGCAAACCGCTTTATTCTAATACGTGGAATATCGACAAGATATGGTTGAATACACAATTGTCCGAGGGAGAAATTAAAGCATTTAATTCCTCCCTCTCCTCTTTGGTAAGATTGTATTGCCTTCAATTTCTCTAGTTACCTATTTGCAGCTTAAGAGAAGTTTCGGACCTCTACTTATTACTTTGTATATTGTAAGCCGATCAGGATTCGGAGAACCGATATTTTTACAAACAAAAATAATTCTATGGTCAATTATTATCTTAATATAGTTTATGAAATATAATTTTTTTTTATAGATAAGAAGGAGAAAATGTGCATGCGGTCTACCTCATGGTAAGTATTTACGTAAATAAAAGTAATTATAAGTTTAATTCTTTTTTTCGTAATAGAGCCACACTGCATCTAACATCATGTGACTGTAGTGCAAATGGGTTGGCTCGGCTGGGGTAGAACAACGCTCTCACAAATTACCAGCCGAAATAGCAGAATGATGCTGCTGTGTTTCTTATAGTGAGTGTAGATAACTGGAGACTCTTTTTACTGGTAATTCGATCTTAGTCCTCAGGGGACAACGCGTCTCCGATTAAGTATGAATGGAGGATAGATGTAAATGTTTATAGGTCACAGTATCCATTTACCATTAGGTTGAAGGACTGCTTGATCGCGTTTCACCATTAATTAACGACAAAATGCAGATGCAGATTAAAAATTATCAATTATTAAAAATCATTACTAAACACATACACTACACATTAAAGTTTCTTACTTCAAGATGTCTACCGTATTCGTATGTATTACACGGAGAAATTAAAAAAAGTATGCTTCAATAAATTATTCACATCAATCATATCAATCAAAAAACAAAATCTATTGGGGGATGAAATGCACAATAGCCAATAAATAAGTAATGCCTATTTGGCCCAAGTCTTTATTATTCAGATAATCACGGCACGTTTCCTTTAACAGACAATTTCGAAAAGCTTATTGGCAACCTATGTTGTCCTGGTATAACAAGGTGTTAGTGTCACGGGATCTTAATCCAATGTTGTTACGGCGGTTTGTTGCAGAGTCCGAAGTGTCTTTCCATGTTAGATCGTACTAAAAAAAAAGGTTCTTGTGAAATTATAATAAAAACTCTTTCCCATATACCTACTGCAAATTTTCTGTGCATCACAAAATCTAAGTAAAAGTACGCAGAATTTGAGCTAACCTTTCAATCTATACTGAAAACGATTTAACACTTCAAAAATACTCTCTCTGGACCCCGAATTCTTAAAACCTGGAAGTTTTCCGAATTCATGATATAATTCCAAATTTTATAATGCTTAATTTTTCATTATTTTGAACTGTTTAAAATAAAGTTGCAAAGTCTCGGATTGGGGGCGACTAAATCTAGTCCAGTTTAATCCTCAGAAGACACAAGTTTGCGCGTTTACCGCTAAAAAGAACCCCTTTGTCGTATCTCCTCAGTTTCAAGGCACTCCCCTTCTTGCCTCAGCCAGTATCGGTATCCTCGGAGTCGACATATCGAGTGACGTGCAGTTTCGTGGTCACTTGGAAGGGAAGGCCAAATTGGCCTCTAAAAAGCTTGGCGTGCTCAGCAGAGCGGGACAGTATTTCATGCCGGCACACCGCCTGCAACTTTACAAGGCGCAAGTTCGGCCTCACATGGAATACTGTTCCCATCTCTGGGCAGGGGCTCCCCAGTGCCAGCTCCTTCCACTTGACCGCATCCAACGCAGAGCTGCGCGAATCGTCGACGACCGAGCCCTTTCCGATCGGCTCGATTCATTGGCACTGCGAAGAGATGTTGCATCCCTTTGCATTTTCTTTCGCATCTACCATGGGGAGTGCTCTGAGGAATTGTTCGGATTAA